AGGGCTGGGCGGGGTCCCGGCCGCTGTGCCAGGCGGGGCCCACGCGCGCTCGCAGCACGGTCACGACAGTCGCGGCGCGGGGGCTGGCGAGCTAGCGCTGAAGGAGGGGACCGCGGGGGCGGCTGTCTGTTCTCCAGCCGCGTCCCCAGGAGGGCGAGCGTCGGCCGTGCCTCCCACCTCTGCCTGCGGGCGGGTGGCTGGGCCGGGCGCTCCCTTGAGCCGTCCTCGTTCCCTCCAAGTGTGAGCCGAAGTTGGGAACGCTGGTGGCAGCCAGACTGGCAAGTGTGGAGGCCACCACGGGGGGCAAACATCTTCTCGCCAGGCATGGTGGCCCACGCCTGCAATCCCAGCTACTTGGAGGCTGAGACAGGAGGATCACAAGTTCAGGGACCCCAAGATCCACCTAGGCTCTTGTCTCAGAATAAAACAGCGCTCAGTGGTGACCGGCACAAGGCCCTGGCTTCAGCCCCAGGGCTGGAGAAAGAAGGAAAGCCGGAGGTCCCTTGTCCTCTAAGTGAATCTGACCTTGACTGGCGGGCAGCTTGTCACAGGGACAGGGAGGTTGCTGCCCCATCCCTTCCTTCCCAGGTGGCTGTGTGGACAGGTGGGTGCCGTGGTGCAGGAGGTGCTTTTGGATGAAGGGCAAACCACTGTGGGGTTCTTTGTTGCTGGAGAGCAAATAAAGGGGCCCCTTGGCCATTCAGATGAGGTATTTGGGGGCCATGCCCCCCCAGGTGCCAGCGCCCCCAGGAGGGCTCCAGCAGCATGGCTGGTGGGACAGGGAGGGGCAGCCTGGCAGGTGAGGAAAATTCACCCACGTTTATGTCGGGCACCCGTGAGGTGGGGACAAGCCTGGAGCTGGGGACCTGCACCTCCAGGCAACTGAGTGTGACCGTGTGTCACTACAGGGAGTGCGGCTGTCACCAGGACCACAGCACTCTGGGCAGTAGGCACCGTTGTCTTGCCATTGACAGGGAAACTGAGGCACAGACAGGTTAGGGGCTCGCTCAGGGCAAGCTGGCTGGTAGGACCCAGCCCCCCTGCTTTGTGCCTCCTGGCATGGGGTGCGTGTCTGCAGCAGTGCTGGAGGGACACTGGTGTGGAGCCACCTGTCTATTTGGGGAACTGCAGTAACCGGATACAGTGGGGCGAGGGAGGTCAGGGCAGGACCAGCCGCGGGCTCTGCGGCCTTGCTGCGCTCTGGCTCCTGCGGAGGCCGTCGCCCTCCCAGTCAGCCCTGCGCGTCTCCTGCCAGGTCGGTGGCCCAGGACGTCGCCGCACTGCAGAGGCTGGGCATCACCCACGTCCTGAATGCGGCCGAGGGTCGGTCCTTTATGCACGTCAACACCAGCGCCAACTTCTACCAGGACTCGGGCATCACCTACCTGGGCATCAAGGCCAACGACACGCAGGAGTTCAACCTCAGCGCCTACTTTGAGAGGGCCTCGGACTTCATCGACCAGGCCTTGGCACAAAAGAATGGTGAGGCGCCTGCCGGCCCCGGGGCGGTGGGGGGCTTCAGCTGGGTGTCCCGGGGGTCAGGACCCAGCAGCTCCCCTGGGAGCCTCTGCTTGCTGTCCCTGGAGGTCAGTGCTTTGGTCTCTCTGCTCTGGGCTGCTGTGTGGCCCCAGTGACCGCATCTGCCCCATCCTGGGGCACCGGCCGGGGACCCCCAGGGCGGTGCGTCACGTCTGTGAGCTGAGGGCCTGAGCTGACGGAGCCAGGGCGGCTCGGCAGTGGCCCCCGGACCGGATTCTTCCAGCCAGGGATTCAGGGACGCAGCTGCCCATGACTGCCTGAGGTCACAGTCAGGAGAGCGGCACGGGGCTGGCAGCGGGCAGGGCACCCTGGGAGCCGCAGGGTGCGCTGAGCGGGCTGTGCCCTCATCCCCGTCCCGCGTAGGGACAGAGTGAGTCCAGGGGGCAGGAGTGTCCTGTCTGTGCTTGCGGCCGCTCCCGAGCCCAGGGGCCCATCCAGCGGGCCGAGTTGCAGTTCCTGACCCCCAAGCGAGTGCAGTCGCTGCGCCCCAACTGTACAGTGCGTGGAGGTAGACAGGGCCCAGCCCGGCTGAGGGGGGGCTCCGGCTCTTCACCCCGCCGCGGAGCCCCTTGACCTCACTTCCTGTTTTGAGGGATCCTGCCCGCTTCTGCCCTCCGCCCGCTCTCCTGCCCGTCCGTGCTGTGATGCTGGGCCTGGGGTCCCCATCTGTAGCCCCAGGTGCGCTGCCAGTGGTTACTGGGCGGGGGACACTGAGTCCCACGGGTTCTGACACTGGGCAGCAGATGGAGCAGCACTGACTCAGCAGAAATGGGCCGGCCGCGGCTGTTTTGGCCGTGGGACCAGGGGCTGTCATCGTCAGTGAGACTAGGCAGGGGTGGCGGAGGGCGGCGAGGAGGTGTGGGCACTGCTGGGGCTGCCCGGGGGGTGCCACAAGTGCATCGAGCTCTGCATCCGCCCTGGCGAGGAGCAGCAGCAGTGGCAGCGAGGGGCTGGCGGGCGCGGGCCGGGCGTGGGAGGAGATGCGGAGGCGGTGACGGCCGCTGAGCCGGGGCCAGCAGCGTCCCCTCCATATCCTGCGGGGTGGAGGCTTCGGGAGCCGCATGTGGCTGGAGGCCGCAGGTTCTCCAAAGCCAGGGCCACCTGGGTCGTCCTGCAGGTGAACCAGTCAGTAGCCCTGTGTGGGTGCCTGAAACCACGCAGGACGCCGGCGCTTCCCCGCCTCAGCCAGTACACAGCCCCCAGAGGGGCGAGCAGGCCACCGGGCAGAGGACTGGGGCCGGGCAGAGGGCTGGCCGTGGCCTGCACGGGAGCAGGGTGGCGCTGGTGTTACCACCCTCTTCAGAACAGCACAAAAATGAAGACACAGGCATCGCTATTTCCAGAGTTCCCCACTTGGTTCTGACCCTGCCGGCCAGGTGACACGGAGAGCAGAGCCGCGGGAGGGAGGCCGCCGTGTGACTCTGCCGTCCCTGGACGCCTGAAACGTCTCGGGCTGGCTTGGGAAGGGAGGCAGGGTGGGTCCCCAGGAAGCTTGTTCCTGGGGTCCCCCGCTGGGGCGCCTCCCCCCCCCCGTGCTGTGGCGGGCAGTTAGCCCCGAGGTCGGCGTCAGGCACAGCCTCAGGACCCCAGGGAAGCGTCCAGGCAGCGCGGGCCCTGAGAGTGGGCCACAGTGATGGTGACCTGGGGCCAGGTGGCCTGGAGAGCTGGACCTTAAACCCCAGCGCCGACACAGGCCGACTCCGAAGGGTTGAGCCGGAGCGTACTGGGGAGCCAGCGGGGGCCAAGACCTGCAGAGGCGCAGCGGGAGAGTGCGCGGCCGGAGGCGCGCAGCGGGAGGGCGCAGGACGGCGTGCGTGTGCGCTGTGGCATCGCTGAGCCACACGGGGGAGTAGACTGCGGTGAGGGGTGACGGCCATGTTGTGCTCTAGCAAAAGCCCCAGGGACAAGGGGTGGAGGGGGACTTGCCTTGTTGAGATGTCACCAAGGCCAGGACAGTGGACACACCGTCACCCCTGATGTCCTCTGTCCCCTGCAGCCTGTCCTGCCCACCCCCTCCCTGAGTGCCCACTGAGCTGCCATGGTCCCTGGGACCCGTGCATGTGTGACGAGTCCCCATCTACAGACACACACGCTTCCTGTTCTTCTACCCTTGTCCGGTCTCGCTCAGGATAACGACTCCTGCAGTGTCATCTGTTGCTCACTTCCCAGTTCTTTCCCTTTTTCACTGCTGAGTAATATTGTAATACTCTGGGTGGGGGCACCACTCCTTTCTCAGCTCCCTGGGGGAGGGTGTTGCATGTGGGCCATGATGTGGGCTCAGGGAGTGGCCCTGGTCACCAGCAGGACACAGGCAACCTCTGGACGTCCACCTGGAGCCCTCTCCGTGGCTGCCCCCACGCCAGGTCCACTGTCCCCAGGGGCCACTGCCCTGCTGTGCCGCTGTGTGATGTGTGGTGTGGTGCGCTGTGTCTGGTGAGATGTCCTCACTGTCACTGTTGATTCCATTGTTGCCTGGCCCTTGGGGTCCCTGTTTGGGGCCACCGTGCCACACGGTTGTAGCCATGTCCCTCGTGACCAGGGGGCAGTGCAGGGCAGGTGGGGACGCACCCAGCTCTGTCCTGGCTGCCCGCGGTGCTGGCCGCATCGTGTCCTGGGACATTGGACAGCGGCTGTGGGTTGCCAGGCTCCCGCCCATGTCTCCCGTCTCTCCGCAGGCCGGGTGCTGGTGCACTGCCGAGAGGGGTACAGCCGCTCCCCGACCCTGGTCGTCGCCTACCTCATGCTGCGGCAGAACCTGGACGTGAAGGCGGCGCTCAGTACCGTGCGGCAGCACCGCGAGATCGGCCCCAACGACGGCTTCCTGGCCCAGCTGTGTCAGCTCAACGACCGGCTCCGGCGGGAGGGGCGACTGAAGCTCTAGGGCCCTGCCACCGCCTGCCACACCACCCCGCGCCACGCCACTCCTGTGCCACTGCGAGCAAGTCACTGTCCCCTGCCCACGTCACAAGGCACCAGCCGGAGGGTCCCAGCACAGCCCCGGGCCGCGTCCTCTGGGGACACACGAAGCTTTGCCAGGGGCCTGCTCCCCACTGTCCTGGTGGCCTCTGTCTCCGCGGAAGAGCTGCTCCCCGGTCGGAGGTGGGGCGCCCCGCAGGACCTCAGCACTGAGCCCGGTAAAGGAGGATGATGCACACGTCCACCCCTGGCCCCCGGTCCACACCCTGCCCGCAGTGCCTGCTGTTGTCTTGGTGGAAGCCCCCCACGTCCTCTGGTTATTTCCCCAGGCCTCGGACACCACCCCTGGAGGCCGGGCAGGCTGGAGGCCGGGCTGTGTGCCCCTGCCCTGTGCTTGGCGCTGGCGATGGCTTGAGCGGCCGCTTCGTGTTTAGAAGGGCGTTGGGCGGGGCCTTGCGCTCCAGCCTGTTGGCAGCCCCAGCGCCAGGAGCCTCACCACAGGCTTCGTCCTGAGCCCGCGTGGGCCGCAGCCCCCGTGCCGTCTGCTCTGCTTCTGTTGCTCTTCTGAGAGCGGGAGGAGGAGCCGGCCCCGCTCAGCGGGTGTGCGTGCAGGCGTGGGTGCGGGCTCTGCCTGGCGGAGCCCCGGCCGTGTCCCCAGCCCAGCACGCGTGTGTCCCATGCGGGCAGTGGGTGAGCTGGGTGTACGTGGGTAACGCCCCGCTGGCGCCCAGCTCCCGGAGGCCTGGGTTCTTGCAGGAGCCCTGCCATTGGCAGGGGGACAGCAGTGTCTGCAGTGTGCGTGGAGCTCAGCTTGCACTCCGGCCCCAGCGCAGCGGGGCTGTGCGTGAGAGGAGTGGGACTCGCGGCCCCGGCGGTGAGGCCCCGCGCTGCCCAGACGCACGGCCAGCATCCCCTGCACCATGCCCCAGAGCTGCTGTCTTCCCAGGTCACCGCTGAGGGCGCGGCTGCACCCCCTCCACAGTTTGGGTGCGGCTCCCCGCCCACTGTGGGCTGCAGAGTGAGAAGGCTGTGACCCCAGGCTGCCGCTCGCTGCTCTCAGAAGCGGGGTTCTCTCTCCTAGGCTGCTGCCCCGTGGGGTGGGGTGGGGGTTGGGTCCACCACCCAAGCCCTCTGTCCAGCGTGAGAAAGAGGTGTGAAATGGGGTCCCCATAGAGCACCCCAAGTCAGCGCTTCCTTCCTGAGGCTCAGCCAGAGTCGCCGAGGACAGCCAGCTGCCTGGTCAGCACCTCCAAGCCTCTAGGGACACGCGGAGGAGGCTGGAGGAGACTCCCGCTTTCTCTGGGGACTTGCTTGGCTCCGTCGACCCCAGAAGCCCAGAGATTCAGCCCCCGGCTCGCTGAGTGAGGCCGTGTCCTGTGAGAGCTGTCCCCGCGGCTGTCTGCCCTGGGAAGGGCAGCGCAGGGCCTGAGGGCGCCCCGTGCCCCGCCTGCACACCCGCCCTTCCTGTGGCTGGCAGAGCCGCGGCTGGCTTTTCCCTGGGCCTCCAGGCCCGTGCCCTTCGCGGGCTGTCTCTCGGCTCCTGCAGGTCATTGAGGCGCATGCCGAGGGGGTCGGCAGGTGTCGCTGCGTCCCCGCGGTGGCGGAGGCCGGCTGCCTGCGGTGGGATCTGCTCGCATGCAGCAGCCGGCAGGAGCCGCCCTGATCCCGAACGCTGAGACCGTTCTCGGAGGCCCTGGCCGCAAACTGTGGCCAGGAACCCCGCAGAGCCAGCGCGGCGCCGCCCTCTGCGAGCACCGCAGGTCCCAGCGGGGGCTGGCAGCTTCGCCTGCAGCCCGCTCCCCTCCTGCTGGCTTGAGGGTGTACTGAGTGTGATTCCGGGACGAGGGCAGAGGCAAGCTGCTCGCAGCGGGCCCTGGTGGGTGGCTCTGCAGAGCCTGGCACACACAAGGCCCGTCCCCCACTGCCACCAAAAAAGAAAAAACAAAAGCAAGTTAAATGTCTGCTATATCACCAGTCTGTGTTAAAACACTAAGATCGCAACCAGAATAAATGTCTTCCCAACAAAGACAGGCCCTGTGTCTTTCTTGCTCCCGTTCCCTTTTACACTGTAGCACTGGGCGTCTCTGTTTGCCTTTTATATGTTTCTGTTTGTTTTTTTTGAGGCAGGGTGTTGCTGCATATTTCAGCTGGCCTTGAACTCACCGTGTAACCCAGTGTCTTGGTGACTTTTCTCTCGTTCCTGGGGCAAAATACCCAACACCCAAAATTAAGGATGGAAAGGTTTATTTGGCTCACAGTTTGTGGAGGTTTCAGTCTGTGATTGGCTGGCTCCATGGCTGAGGGCAGCAGTTCGTGGCAGTGGAAGTCAGCAAAAGCAAGAGGAGAGGCTTTTCTCCTCCCTTACGCTGTGCGCAAGCTGCCCGACCTAAGGTGGGTGCACCATTCACAGCCCCAGTCCCAGCACTGGACACACTTGAGTTCAACTGCGTCCAAAAAGCCAGCCCCCTGTGACCACACGAGGCTTTAGGGGGACATCTGGACACAAATCGTAACACTCAGGCTGGCCTTGAACTCAAGGTGATCCTCCTGCCTCAGCCTCCCAAGTGCTGGGATTACAGGTGTGCACCATCACACCTGGCTGTTGCTTTTTTTTTTTTAACATTTTAAACATAATCACCAGCTAAGAGCAAGTGTGTCAGCGATTCCATGACGGGTCTGTTTCTGCAGCGGGTGTCCCTGTGTCAGGGATGTGCCTGGGAGGGTGGCCACCCTGCAGACAGGACAGGTTTGCGCTCTGGAGGAGACGGGCTGGGGCCGAGATGCGAGTGGAAGCTCTTAGGGTTTGGGTGGTCTGTGGTCCCAGACCACCCCGTGCTCCCTGGTGCTTCCAGCCTGCTGTTCGTGCGAGGTCCCTGTGCTCACAGGTCGGCGGCGCTGGTGCTTTCTGTCCCAGAGAGAAAGTCCTTGGGCGGAGGGCGAGGCCCTCAGCTCTGCCTCCAGCGGTCCCCAGGGCCTGAGGGCGGCTTCCCCCGCCAGCCCTCCAGCCACACAGCTCTGTTGCTGCACAAGGTCTGTCTGTTATCCTAGATGTCAGTTTTTCTGTTTCTCAGTCCAGGCTTATGGCCCGCAGCGGCCGTCCTCCCGAGGGAGTGGGTGCCAGGGGGTGACTCGTCGTGACTATTTCCCTCCCCCTCCCTCATCCGTTGGTCCCCGCTCCCCCCCACTCACGAAGACCCACCTTCCTGTTCTGCGGTCCGTCCTTCCTGTTGCCCTCCGTTGGACTCCGGGCTGCTCACGCAGAGAAGCCGCGGCACGGCAGCCGCGTGTCTGGCCCGTCCCGCTTGGCGCAGGGGCCCAGGAGCCTGGCTGTCCTGCGAGCGCTGGGCTTAGCCTTCCTCGGCGGCACGGGTCTCCACCGCTCCGCACACATCTTAAAGCAGAGAGACGGCATGTGAAACCCGTGGGCATCTCTTCACTGTGATTTTAAAACATTTAAACTTTAATGACACTACATACAGTAGATTCATAAATTCAAATAGCACGAAAAGTGACAGTGAGGGGTGCGTCTGCCCCGGCCCCAGCGTTCGGCCCTCTCCGCCCAAAGCCACACTGAGCATCACGTCCTGGGCAGACCTTACACGTGCGTGAGCGTGCACACTGCGTGACATGCATGTAACATGCGTGTGGACCTGTGCATCTCCCTGTGACTAGCAGCCATGCCGTGCTGTGCTTGGCAACATATTTTAGTTTGTGTCGCTTGTAGTTCGCGTGCGTTCATTTCAACAGCCTCCAGCATCTCTGGATTTCTGCCCTCTCGCTTCAGGGGCCGGCAGTGGCGTGGACGTGGGCAGATTTTCAGACGAGACGCGGGAAGGCCGCCCGAGCTTCTCTCTGTCCCGTGCGTGGTTGGCAGCCGTGTTCACCGTGCTCGCTTGAAGCCGAGGAGAAGCGGCCCAGGCCACTGGGCCACGAATGCTGTGGACGTGCCCCACCTAACGTAAGCGCCAGGCTCCAAGGTGTGGCCTCTGCAGCAGTGGCCACTTGTAAGAAATTTGTCTTTATTGCTTTTCTCTCATTGCTGAGAAAATTACCTGACTCCCAAAGTTAAAGGAGGTAGGGAGGGGATGTAGCTCAGCAGTGCAGCGCCTGCCTGGCAAGCGCAAGGTCCTGAGTTCGAGTCCCGATACCCAAAAAAACAAAGTTAAAGGAGGAGAGGTTTATTTAGCTCAGTTTTCTTTTTTTGGCACCAGAAGTCGAACTCAGGACCTTGTGCTTGCCAGGTAGGCGCTTGTGCTACATCCCAGGTTCTGCTTAGTTTGCGGAGGTTTCCGCCTGTGGTCAGCCCGCTCTGAGAGGCTGGCGGGGCGGAGGGCATCGGAGAGGAGAAACACCCACTGTGGGCAGCAAGCAGAAGGAGGCAGCAGCGGAGGCAGCAGAGCAGCGGCCCTCACTCTTCCCCCTTCCAGGCTACCCGTGCCCTGGGCGGTGCCTCCCGCACCAGCGTGGCTTCCCCTTACCCAGGCCCAGAGCCACGCCAGACCCACCAGCAGACTCGTTTAGCAGCCGCACACCCTTGGCCCCAGCCTCACACACCCTAGGCCCCAAACCCCCAGCCACGACTGCACGAGGCTTTGGGTGACAGCGAGACACAGCCACGGCGAAGTTCACCACGCAGAGGGGTCACGGGCAAAGTCTGCTGTGGAGTGAGGGAGCCTGGAGGTGGCGTTCGGTGTATGGAACCTCTTACCCTGGCTATATATAGGTGCTTTGCTGTGCCAGGCAAGTGCTTTACTACTCAGCTCCACCTCCGTCCAGGCAACACTGAGTGAGCAAGTGGCGTCCAGCACACTAAATGTACATGTATAGCGTTCTGGGAGGCTGAGGCAGGACTGCACGTTCAAGTCCAGTTTGGGCAACTTAGTGAAAGCCTGTCTCAAAATGGAAAAAGGGCTGGAGACGTAGCTCAGCATGAAGGCCCCAATTCAATTCCCAGTACGACACAAAGATGCATAACACGTTTGATTAACATATATTTTATTATATTTCTAATTAATTATATACATACTTCTAAAATCATGAGACGTCTCCATGGGAACCTGCGGTCCAGGAGAGCCTGGCTGAAGGCCTTAGATCTCGGTTGTCACCAGGCAGCCTGGAGCCCATAGCCCTCGGGCCTCCGTGGGGGGCGGTGCGGGCAAGCTTGGCACACGGTGAGTGGCCTGGGGAAGGGCAGTCGGGGCGGGGCTGGGCTCTGAACACGGGATCAGCCCACAGCTCAGTCTGCCCCCGGGCGATGGCAGAGCGGGCACTGAGAGGCTGTGTCCAGGCAAGGACCCCCAGGGCCAGGCTGTCCTCGGGTCACCCGTGTTCACCCACCAGGGACGCGGCCTCCTGAAGTGGGAGGGGCCCAGGCCACAGGACCTTTGCGGCTCTGGGCGGACCTGGGCCTCTGATTCCAAGGAGCTGAAGGAGCACAGTTTACTTGGTCTCCAAGTCAGGTCCAAACATCACAGCTTCCCATGAGGGTCCCAGCTCCACTCCACGGGAAAATCAAATGGAGCCGCTGGGAGGCCGTTGGGTGGATTCTCAGAACCGACGCGGTCTGTGCCCACCAGCGATCGTGCTCCTTGGTATTTATCCAGATGGTCTCAGGACGCCCTGGAGCCTGGGCACCAGCATTTACTGCAGCCTTGGTCATGGTGGCAGAGACTTGCGAGCGACCAAGGTGCCCCTCCTCAGGCGGGAGAGCTGGCTCACTGCCACAAAGGTGTGCAGAGGCGGAGGTGTGCAAGCCTCTCCAGTGGGCGGCCCCGACCCGGGAAGGCCAGCCCCACGGCGCAGAGGGAAAGGCGAAATGGGACGTAACAGATCAGGGGTTGCCAGGCGGGGGGAGGGGGCTGGGCAGAATTTGGGGGTACAGCCAATGGCGGTGGCTGTGCCCATCCTGGAGGGACCGATCGGGGGAGGCTGCTCCACTTTGCCGGGGACCTACAGCTGCTCTTTAAAGAACAATAAAGGGCTTCGTTTTCTTATTTATGCATTCGCTGTGTGCTGGGGAGGAGCCCAGGGCCTCCGGCCTGCTGCCGGCTGCACCCCACCTGGGCTATTGAAAGACGCATTTGGACCCTCGTGAGTGGCATGGAGCCCAGGGCCCTGGTCGGGCTGCTTGGATGGGGAGCTCGTGTCTCCCCTGGACGGGAGCGCGTGTCTGCTTTGCCTCAGTGAGTGCGTGGTGAACGAGCGAGCGGGAACAGGCTGGGAAATCGCCTTGCGGAAATCGAGGTTCATCTGTTACCTTTAATTTAAAACCAGCATCGCCCATCGGCGTGGTGAGAGGTGCTGCCCGGGAGCCGCCCAGCCCCGCGCCCAGGCCTGGCCGTGTCTGGAGACCGCTGTGCCAGCTCACGGATTAGTCAGGGTCCTTGTGCAAGGAGGGGCAGCCAAACAGAGAGAAGCCGGGGCGGGGGACACGGAGGGACAAGAGTGGAGGACAGGAGCAGCCGGGACAGGCCCCACACGGCCGCCTCCGCCTCCGCCTCCGGGCCCTGCTGCCCGCTCACTCCTGCGGGCACAGCACCCACTGCTGGGAAGGATCGAGGTTAAAACAAGTCACTCTGGTCTATACCCCGAGAGTGGGAGGAGTCCCCAGCTCCAGGCGGGGCGTGGGCCACTCCCCGGGACTGGCGTCCCCGCAAACTCCACTCGCTGGCATTTCGCCAATTTTTTTTTTTTTTTTGGTCTGTTTGAGACAGGGTCTGGCTATGCAGTTCAGGCTGGCTTTGAGCTCACTTTGTAGTCCAGTCTGGTCTTGAACTCATAACGATCCTCCTGCCTCAGCCTCCCGAGCGTTGGGATTACAGGCATGTGCCACCACTCCGAGCCTTCGATGGCATTTTTAAAGTGAGAAAGGAGTTTAGTGCTGGCCAGGTTAGGGCAGAATGTGGATGGGGTGTCTTTTAAAGGGTCCCGGGAGGGCTGCTGCAGCCTCCAAGCTGTGCTTCCTTCTGACTGGCGGGTGATGGACGGCTACACAGGTGGTGAGATCGTGCAGAACTACAGGCACACACAGATGTGCACGGGGAGGGGCAGGGGCCGAGACCACGTCAGAGTCCCGGCGTGATGCCGTGCTGTGGGTTTGCAGATGTCAGGTGGGGAACCTGGTCGAGGACACTGAAATCCCCGCGTTGTCCCTGGTGAGTCCACATGCTTTGTGATAAGACTGAAAATCAGTTTAAGCCCGCCGGCCCCCGGCAGACCGTGGCTCTGCGGCACAGGGTCACGCGGCGGTTCAAGCCCACTGGGTTCTTCCTTCTTTGACCACACAGTCTCAGCTCTGACTAAAATAACGACGTGAAACAGTCCTGAGCCTGACCCGCCCCGCGCCCGCTCCGCCTCACGCCCAGCAGGTGGCAGACGTGCCCTGAGAATAGTCCTGCGGTGCTGGGACTGCCCTGCGCTGGCCACCGCAGGGTTTACTGTGCCGTTCCTGCCAGAACCAGGCTGGGGTCACCACAGAGGGGGCGTGGGCCGCCCTGCCCGAGACACCGCGCCCCAGCGCTGGCCACAGCTGTTTGCTCTGCTCCGAAGGAAGCTGAGTCAGGAAGTGGCTATCGGAGAGCCCTTTCCGCAGGGCTGTCTGGCCTGCAAAGCTGTCAGCGCGGCCACGTTCCTGGGCGGGTGACGGATGGGGACAGGATGGCAGGTGCCCCAAGTGGACATGCGGCGAGCAAGTCTGCGCAGGGGGCAAGGCCTTCCGGGGCTCTGCAGGGGGCACCCCATGCGCCCCGAGGGACCCTGGGCCGGGTGTCCCAGCCAAGGCTCCCGCCGCACCCCTGCACCTGCCCTGTGCCCTGCCCTGCGTGGCCGTGGCCTCTGTGGCTGGACAGACCCGTGCAGCGTGGCCCGTCTCACAAGGGGACTGGACGTTGTGTCTGAAAAGTGCAGCAGGGAAAGCCGTGAGCACACAGGCTGGCCTGAGGGTGCCGGGCGAGGGTTCTGTGTTGGGCGTCCAGTGTGGCAGGGAACATGTGCCCACCTCCAGGTCCCCGGGGAGCAGTCTTGTCCCCCCAAGTGGCCCTGCTGTGGCCCGCAGCCGTCACCCAGGCCCTACAGAGGACACAAGGATGATCGTGCTGACCCTCACGGAGCGGAGACCAGCCAACTTCTCTCTCTCTCTCTCCCCCTCTCTCTCATTTTTGAGACAGTCTTGCTATTGAACTCACAGTGTAGCCTACTCTCAGTGATCCTCCTGCCTCAGCCTCCCGAGGGCTGGGGCCACAGGCATGTGCCACAAGCCTGGCTACCGAGAGAGGTGTCAGGCAGGGCTGCAGCTCAGGGGCAGAGCGTGCTGTGCACGCATGCGTGAGGGCCTGGCTTTGATCCCCAGCACAGAAAAAACAAAAACAAAAAGAAAAAAAAAAGCAACTCAGCCCCATGGCTGGGTCTGCATCCCCTGGGGAGGTGGCAGGGCACGGCCTGAGAGGTGGCAGCAGCCCTCTCGGCCCGAGGGAGCCCACTTAGAGCCGTGCACTCCTCTGCAGAGCCGTCCAGTTTGCTCTCAGAGCACCGGCCAAGCTCACGTCCTTGCTGTCTGCAAACCACAGCCCCGGCGGGGGAGGAGCCGGCTGGCCGCACGCCCTCGGGCACCTGCAGCGCTGTGCAGTCTGCAGAGGGTGTGTCCCGGCACACCGTCCTCCACATTGGCCGACCCCAGGCAGAGGGGGCTTTAAAAAGGCCACCGGGCCAGCCTGGGGCCGGGAGCCCGAGCTGCTGGCAGGCGGCACGCTCCTTGCCGGCGCCATGCAGCTCTCCCTGGCCCTGTGTCTCCTCTGCCCACTGCTGCCCGCTGTCTTCCGAGCGGCTGAGGGACAGGGCTGGTCGGCCTTCAAGAACGATGCCACCGAGTTCATCCCCGGGCTTGGCGGCCACCTGGAGCCCCCTCCGGAGCCGGAGAGCAACAAGACCATGAACCGGGCGGAGAACGGGGGGCGGCCTCCCCACCACCCCTTCGAGGCCACAGGTAGGCGGCGTGGAGTCCGCAGTGCTGTCCTGGGAGCGCTGTGTCCTCTCTGCAGCCTTCGTGGTCCAGGGTGCGCACGGCTCCCTGCCGGCAGGGTGGGGCGCAGGGCACGGGCGTGGTGGCCAGGGAGGGGACACGGGAGGGTGCGGCACCTGTGTGGGGGCGGGGGACAAGGCCAGGGGAGCGGCCCCTGCTGCGCATTCCCCACATGTCCCGAGGGTGGACCCCAGCCCAAGGCAGAAACCAGGGCTCAAGCCAAGTCGCTGACAGTGAGCAGAGTGGCTGGATCCGAGCCCTGTGTGGCCCCTGCCCGACGGAGCTGGTGTTCTGTCAGCCCAGGCTGTTGGGGTGCAGGGTGCGGGCAGAGCCCAGCGGGGCTGCTCTTGGAAGTCCCAGGCCTCCTTCCCAGGACACGTGGGCCACCAGAAGCCGCCTCGCGAGGGTGGAACGCCCCTCCACCTCTGCCTGTCCCCAGGGCCTGGGTGGCCTGGCCTCCCTCCCACTCCCTGGTTCTGCTTTGGGACTGTCTCACCCTTGGAGGTCCCGCTGGAACCGTCCCCAGGACACCCCTGGGCTAGTGGAGCTTCCCCAGGAGCAGACCAGCCCATCAGGCACCCTGGAGGGTAGCCCAGTGCTCGGAGCCGGGACCACAGCGGGTGCTCAGTGCAGTCAGAGCTCGGTCTCCGTCTGGTGGGGAAGGGACCGCTGTGAAAGGCTGCCCCCACTCAGCACCATCCTTAGGGCCCAGGGGAGGAGTCCGGACCCTGGCGCTGTCTTCAGGCGGGTTCTCTCCCTCCCTGGACCTCCGCCTCCAGGATGCGGGCGTGGCCCGAGGCCCCTGATGAGTTCCGTCCTGAGCAGGCTCTGCCCGCCTCACACCCGAGTCCCCAGTTACCACCTTCAGTTAACCTCCCGCCTCGCTCAGGCCCCGCCCTGCCGCAGGGGCTGGGGAGGAATTTGGGGAAACCAGCGCCTTGAAAGGCGGAGGGCGCGCTGGGTGCCCCCTGCGCCCGCCCAGTACCGGTGTGGGCGACGTCAGCACGGGGCGAGGGGGCAGCCAGTTCCTCGGCACCCCGAGCGCCCCCTGGAGGTCAGGTGGAGAGCTCTGTGTGCCTGGGGCTGCCTGGCCGGTCGCCTGGCCAAGGGGGCTGGGGTGTGGACCCCGCCCACCGGCACAGGCTCCCGGGGAGAGGGCAGTGGGCCGCAGGCTGGCTCAGCCCCGGAGGCACGTGTGGCGGGTGGGCGGCGGCCGGGAGTGCGGTGGTGGCTGGCGGGGTGGCCCCGCTCACGCGCTCTCTGTCCCCGCAGACATCTCTGAGTTCAGCTGCCGAGAGCTGCGCGCCACGCGCTATGTGACGGACGGGCCCTGCCGCAGCGCCAAGCCGGTCACCGAGCTGGTGTGCTCGGGTCAGTGCGGGCCGGCGCGCCTGCTGCCCAACGCCATCGGCCGCGGCAAGTGGTGGCGCCTGGGCGCG